CATTTCAAATATAATTTATATGCTGTCCATACAGTATAGCGGTTATTGACACTGAATGCGGTGCCGTAGAGTCTGAGTTCGAATCCCGGAGAAGACATGAATGTCTGTATTATAATCTTTCATGACTTTAAATTACTTTTTCCGTTACGAATGGTGATCCATGTTTACTTTTGTAAGCCCTCGTATGATACTTTGTGGTTGTTAATTTTTTTTCATTATATATATAGATACTTAATAAAGACATGAATTTAGCTATACTTTTATATAAAAAAAATTTAAATTTTTAATTCTGAATTTACCATAAAGCATTTGTTTGAAAGCATTTATAAATTATTTTTTCGCTTAAATTTTTATTATTAATCACATTTATTTTGAACTGATAAAATAGAGTTATTGATTAATTTTTGAGGAATTTACTAAAATAATTAGTTTTTAAACAAGAATTTTAATGGTAAAACCAGGCAAAAAGAGAGTTTTACATTTATACAGAGTCGTCTGAAATAATATTTATTTCCAAATACATAATTTTACCTGATAAGAATCAAACATTCATAACAATCCAAATATGTACAATGTATCACCTAATGAAAGTTTCTCTCTTTCCAACTATTTTTTACTAAACATTCAGATACATTCAAGTTTTTAAAACGATTTTCGCTGACTCACAATGTAGTCTAGAAGTCCAAAAGAAAGACAGAAAAATGTCTTCTATCGATGAAAGAAAAATCTTTAGCATTATTCAACTCACTAAAATCCTTACAAATATGTATAGCGATAAGCATATGAAAAAGTTAGATAATATCAATAAAATTTGAAAAAATAATATGTGAATTAATGTAGAAAAAGATTTAATTAGGTAATGTTCTCACCCAGACTTTTTTTTTAAATGTAGGTTTCTTTTCCCTTTCAAATATTTGAGGTTGAATCGAATAGTAGAGATGGAAAGGGAAAAAAGAAATGGCTCCAGAGCTAGAGAGAGAAAAAACACCAGTTAATTAATTTTTCCGTTACCATAACTGAAAGTGAAAGAGCCTGAAATTAATTTTTGAAGTCTCTTTAGTAGTCATTAGCGCATTTTATCGGAAATAGCACGCTACTGCGCAAAACTGAGGAGAGTTTGAAATGCGTTTAATTAGGTTTCTGGACTCCTGTGAGGCTGCAAGTGTCAACTGCAATTTATTTCTGCGATAGATGTTCCCTTTCGTGTTTGATATTTTTGTGACTTATATACACCTGCGACTTAATTAACTTTAAGGTCTCAACTGAACCAGCTGAACAGTAAATTTCGTATTACATGTTAACCTTAAGAAGTATTCCTATTAATCATTCAGTAGTTCTTATAGTAAAATTATTTAATCAAAATGAAGTATTTTATACTATTTAAAGCATTTTAAGAGCTCAAAGTTTAACGTATTTTTTTATTACTGGATATAATTTAAAGATATTGTAGCGCTTAGGAGTAATTCTATTCTAAACAAAAGTTACAATTACATTTTATATCGTAATTAGATAGTGCACATAATAAGCTTTAAAAAACAGTCTTTTCTTAAACTTTTTGAAATATCATTATAAAGCATTTAAAAATGTAATATTTTTCTAAAAGGTATTATTACTTATAACTGAATTTAAAAGATATACATGGATGGATTCAACCAAAACATTTTTTTAAAAACCTCTTTGAGATTTACAAAATGAAAAATCAAATATTAAAATCTAATACATTGCAAAAAGAAACGAATTATATTGAATATTTGATGCTAATTTCTCATTTCTCAAATTCCTCTCGAAAGGTTTATGGAAGGGGAAGACAGGTGAAAAGCTCTTAATCACTCTTCTACCTGTTCTTTCCACAAAATTGAAAGGAAACCGAGGCAAATCGTAGTGTCAGCTGTGTGGTGCTCAAATCTAAGGAAAACAACAGACAAAAGAGTAGCTCTTTAGCACAATGAAGTTCTCCAACCTCTGAGAGATCATCGATCAGGTGGCATCAGAGATAACAACAACACATTTGCAAAATGATAATTTTGTTTGCCTATACAACTGTCGTATTTGCTCATATGCTTCAGAATTATCATACAATTACTGCGTTAAGGCCGGTTTTAATGCAAATCGTTGAAGTAAGAATTTAAAAAGTCTACGGACAGACATCCAAAGCAGAAGGTGCAGAATGTTTTCGAGAGAAATAGGGCCCGTTTACAACAATATTCATCCTCCCACTGCCCACTGGATTACATTTCGTACGGATAATTTTGATTCTCCACCCTATAGTCTTGACTTTGTTAGAAAAAATTACCAACGTTCTGGGTGGAAAATTGTTTAAAAAAAAGGAAAGTGCAGTGACAATCTAGCTGAATACAATTGCTGAGACTCAAGAAAAAATACGATAAATATTTAAATGTAGGTATTGATTCTCTGCAGAAATGAAGTAATTGTGTCAGATATATTACATATTAGTGTTTTCCAATTAATATTGGAATTTCTATTTTGTATAGCATAATTGTTTTCATTTTTGGGATGACCCTTGTATAGGTCTAAAGAGTAATTCAAATATCAGATAATATACATAGAGAGAGAGATTTTTCTAATTTTAAATAAGCACACCCACACACAATTATTCTCTCCATTTGTTTTACAAAGCAAATGTTTCTTGTTTTAAATTATATTTATTACCTACCGGGTTTTACTTTTTCAATTCCTACTATTACTTCACACTCTCCCTATGTATATATATATATATATATATATACATATAGGGAGAGTGTGAACTAATAGTAGGAATTGAAAAAGTAAAACCCGGTACGTAATAGGTCTTCATTTTAGTCTATTGACTCTTCCAGTTTCTTACATTTTAAAGTTCTAATTCTGTTTCATGTAATACATATGCTTAATTAATTCTTGTACAATATACTTTTTCATCATTTTTTAAATGTGTGTTTCTTGAAATCTGGTTTAAATCTTCTAGCTTTGTTAGTGATATAATTTTGTATTATCAATTTTATTATGCCATGTATATTTTTTTTTCATTTTATGTTACTATATATATATATACACTATCTGGCCAAAAGTATCCGGACACCACTTAAAAAAGTGGCTCTGGTGAGTGACGCAATTTTATACGTAATTGAAAGCGATAAAAGTGGTGGTAGTTGTTTGTCAGATTGTATTTATGCGTTTGTGAGGCAATGAGGAAGTCAAAGGAGATTAGTGAGTTTGATGGTGGCAGTACAGTGGGATGCCACCTTTGTGGGAAATCAGTTCGTGAGATTGCAGACATTCTACAGAAGCCTAAATCCACTGTGAGTGATGTATTTGTGAAGTGGAAACGTCGAGGCAATGAAACGGCAGAAAAACGAACCGGTAGGCCAAAAATACTTGGTGAACGCAACCGCAGAACTCTGAAAAGGGTAGTGAAACCAAATCGCAAGTCCTCGTTGGTGGAAATTTCTCAGGAGTTCCAAAGTTCATCAGGAATTAGTGTTAGTAGCAGGACTGTCCGTCGAGAGTTAAAAAAACTTGATATTCCATGGTCGTGCAGCCGCTCAGCAGCCAAACATCACTTCCCGGAATGCGAAGCATCGATTGCAATGGTGTAGAGCTCACCGTCATTGGACTGTGGATATGTGGGAAACTATTCTTTGGAGTTATGAATCTCGCTTTACAGTCTGGCAGTCGGATGGACGCGTATGGGTTTGACGGATGCCCGGCGAACGTTTCTTTAGTGACTGCATTGTGCTGACTTTTAAGTTTGGTGGTGGAAGCATAATGGTGTGAGGGTGTTTCACGTGATTTGGCCTGGGTAAGCTAGTTCATGTGATTGAAAACATAAACTCTGAGATGTATGTGGACATTCTGGACAATGCTTCATTCCCAACTCGATGGCAATATTTCGGGGAAGGCCCATTTCTCTTTATGCAGGATAACGGCTCCATTCACACATCGAGGCTTGCACAGAGGTGGTTTGATGAAATGGGTGTTCAAAAACTGGACTGGCCTTTTTGGAGCCCCGATCTAAATCCCATAGAACACCTTTGGGACGAATTAGAGCACAGATTACGTAGCCAGCCAAATCGACCATCCACACTGCAAGCACTCACTTCAGTTGTGATGGACGCCTGGAAGGCAATTTCTATGGTCACCTATCAAAAATTGGTGGAAAGTCTTCTCAAACGTGTGCAGGCTGTCATCCATGCAAAAGGGGGACCAACATGATATTAATATGTGCCTCGGTACTCTCTAAGTCCATACATCTGGGTGTCCGGATACTTTATGCCAGATTATTTATATATATGCAATACATATGCAATACATATGCAATAAAATTTTTCAGATATTAATTTAATTTTAATTAATGAATAAATAGTAACAAAAACAATTGTCCAACATCATATATAAAAAGAAAAATTGATCGTTGTGCCCCTGCAGCGCGATGTATAGCGCGTTGGACTTCAAGTCCAAATATCGTGGGTTAGAATTCCACTTGGGGATGGCCTAGTTTCTGAGAATTTGATATATGTTTACAATAATATTTTATTAGAATAAATACATTTCATTAATGAACACATTGTAACAAACGAAAATAACAGTTCAATACCATACATAGAAAGAAAAACGGAAAATATATTGCAAGGAAAATTGCTTTCCATTTTGCCACATAATACACTGGTTTCCAAAAATTACGGAACAACATGTTTTTCGAAGCTCCCTGTAAAAATGACTTTAACAATAAAATTTATAGTTATATAAATGATAAAACGAACTTTATTCAAATTTATTTAAAAACAATAGCTGCTTCTTTTTTTAAATAGGAGGGAACAGATATATATGAGTATGAGTGAGAGAGAACTTTGCATATATCAGGCTTTCATAAATAAGCGTGTAATTTTTGTTCATTTACAGCTTATGTTAGCAGATTTGTTGACAATAGCCAGTGGAGTCTCGCAATGTCTGAGAGAAGCCATTTGCCCGATTCATTAAGGTGGAGTGCTGGTCGGATGAATGGAAATGGTGTTATCATGGGTTGATGCTGCTAGGCATATAAATGTGTCTCGTAGTGTGGTCCACCCTCTCTGGAATCAATACCAAACAGAAGCATATGTGTCCAGAAGACATGTTCTAGGACAACCACGAGCTACAACACCTGCAGGAGACCGTTTCATCATTCTTTCATCCCGAAGGATAAGAAAGGTTTCTGTGCCGCAACTTGTTGCAGACCACTCTGTAACATCAGGGAGAAGAATATTCACTAGTACGGTGCGAAGGCGTCTTCACAATTCAGGTATCTATGCAGGGTGACCAGTTGTGTGCGTACCCCTCAACAGATGACGGAGAAGGACCCGCTTATCTTGGGCAAGGAGAACACGTTTCCTGAATCAGACAGAGATGGACTTCTGTACTCTTTACAGACGAGTCCAGATACACACTGGAGAGCGATTCAGGACGTTTGCTTTGGAGGGAACGAAGCACCAGATATCATCAATCCAACACTGTTGAAAAAAACAGTTAACGAGGTGGTGGAATAATGGTTTGGGCAGGGATCTCATTCGGTGGTCACACTGACCTGCATGTGTTCCAGTACCCTCTGACTGGTGTGAGATATCGGGGTGAGATGCTTGATCCATATGTCCTCCCGTATTTCAGTGCAATTGGCAATCACTTCATTCTGATGGATCATAATGCACAATCTTGCCGAGCTGTAATTGTTGAGGAATATTTGAGGGTCTTGGTTTGGAGTAAATGGAATGGCCAGCTTGATCTCCAGATTTAAATCCTATAGAGCATATTTGGAACTATTTTGATAGACAGGTTGCTGTTTTAAGTCATCCTTCAAGGTCTTTAGGAAAGCTGGAACAAAGCTTACACCGTGTCTGGACTTCGCTTCTCATTTCGGTAACCTACAGCTTAATTGACAGCATGTAAGTTCGATGCTGCCATTGCATTCAAGCTAGGGGTGAGCATATTCCTTATTAAAACCCATTTTTGTTATGTTTCTATGACATTTTACCACATAAAACTCTGATTATTATTGTTTCCATAAATGGACTTTTCCAGTGAGGTTGCCTTTTTTTTGTTTTAAATCATTTTTGTATTTTTGTTATGTAAACTTCGATCTTGCTGTCAATAAATAATTGTTTTGTGCACATGTCATCCAAATTTGGTGATTCTACATTCATTCATTTGCAAATAAGATGCAAAAAACCGTTTTTTCCTTAACTTTTGGATGCCAGTGTATTATAATTCTGTCATATGTATATACATATTTATAATAGTTGTAATCCGTATAAATAAAAATGTAATGTGTGTTTGTTCAAAGCCACTGATCTCCGAAACTACTGGAGAATTCCTTCTGAAATTTTGACATAACGTTGAACTTGAATCCGGACGGGTTCTTGTGTACTCATTATTTTCGTAATTAACTCAAAATTTTTTGAAATTTAATTTTTAAGTGATTTTGGGTGTTATGACGTTATATGATGTGTTTCTCACTGAATACGGAAATTTATACTTTACATGCAGTTTTTTCGGGATTAAGATATTTTTATTGTAATTATGGTTATCGATTGCAATATTTCTCAATTTTTTTGTTCTTTAATTCTTAATTAGGATTATTTTCCAAATAAATCATTTTTTTAATGATTATTCTTTTAACAACTAAAATTTTGTTTTGCAGTGTTGGCAACATTCGATAGTATTATGGCGGGATGTTTATGATTTTGCTTACAAATTACGACTTACTTTTTCAGTAATTTCATGCAGATTTTATTTATTTTTTTTCGTTATATTATTTGTTATAATTATTTTTACAGATCAAAACTTTTCGAACTGATAAAGGGGTTTAGTTCTTCTGTAATTAACGTTAGTATTGAATTTCTGTTTCCGTTATTTGCTTTAGATAGGCGCTGCTAATATTCATAATATTAATTTCATTCTATTTTATTTTTCTCTCCAGTAATTCTTTTTTCACTGAATGTTTAATTTTTTTATATACATATATTAGTACTTACGTGTTTTTCTTTTTTCGCCGATCATGCACCGCAAATGAAAGGACCTTGCAAAAATATTTTTTTGCACTTCCTGATGTCTTAATTTGGCGAAATGAATCGAATGGTATTGTTCTTAAATATGGTTTTTTTTAATCTGTTTTTGACAATTTTATTTGATGTCTGAAATACGAAATAAAGATTTTGTGATGTATATTTTCTGTTTGTATAGAAATTTATATTGATTTAATCAAATTAGTGAGTCGTATTTTATTTTTGATATTTTTTTATGATTCAATTTTATTCTATAAGTAGCTGTTACCACATGTTGCTGTCGCTCAGTCAGGTTAAAAAGACTGATGCACAACAAAGTATGCCATAAGGATGTATTATTGCAGCAATCGCCAACTCTATTATAACTCGCCAAGTTGGCATCCTCGATTTCCTATGTGCTTTGGATAGTTGTACAATTGTGTAATTGATTCGTTTCATATAATGTCGCCAATAGGTTGTGATAATACTCGAGTACCAAAGAAAGTATCCTAATAAAAATTTTCAACAAAAACATGTGAATCAGAAAAATGTATAGTAAAGAACCATGAACAAACTAAATGTGAATCATTAATATATATAAGAAAAAATGGTACTTGCATATTATCGCAACAATTAACCATTCTATTATTAACTTACCAACTCCTATTTCCTATGTATTGTATGTGCTGAATTGGCAGCCAGGTGCTTCGTTTGAAATAATGTCGCCAATAGGCTGCGATAATATGTTAGTAACAAATAGTTAAAAAATACATTAATAAGCTCATAAAATAGTCAAGAACATATAAATGAAGGGTAGCGTTAAGCAGAAGGATTAAAAATTACTTTATAAATGTGAATAAAAAAACTATCGTATACAAATAAAATATTCTAAAATTTGATGAAATGGTTCTGCTCTGGAATCCGTGAGGGTTAATTTTATTATGCTTCTGGGTAGACAATGTTTTGTGTTGCTTCATTTTCTGTGCAAATACAGAAATTATTGTTTGGTCTGCTTATTCTAGAACACAAATAATTGCCATTGGGAGAATTATCCATGTCTTGATCTAAGCCACTCAATTTTAAAAGATATGCCTAGAACTTTGTTGATAACGATTGAAAATTGTAAAAATCTTCAATTATTATAAACGTGTTGTCGAAAATTTATGGAAAATCCATGTTTTTATATGAATTTTCCTTGCGTATTCAATGCAAAATATCTTTAACCGTGAAGATTTATATTTCTTCCCTAACTCTGTTGGAGTGCAGGCATGATTAATATATGATTGCAAACAATGCACAAATTTGATTTTATATTGTTATGTTATTTGCGTCATTAATAATACTTCCAGGTGTCTGTTACATTTTGAATGTAGACAGTCACCTTAATTATTTTGTGATGCATTGCATTGCTGTTGAGCTGTGTCTTTTATGATAGCGTTAATTTTGTGTGAGTATAGTTTTATTTTTTCATTATTCTTCATTTAGTTTGTTTTTCTTATTTCTCAGTGCAATTGGTAAGAATTCTGTTCTGTCAATTAATCTTTTTTTGAATTCAAACTATATTGTGAAATTGACCTGTTTGGAGCGATTTGTTCAAGTGGAATGAAATTCCCCCCCCCCCATTGCGTCAAAATTGAGTTATGTTGATTGATTTCGATACAAGGCCCATTCAGAGCTGTTTTGCAATTTCATACATTTTTGTTTTTACCTTCTTTTTAAGTGCAGTCAATTGACTTCGGTACATTAAATTACATTTCAGAAAATCAAACTAAGGTCATCACACTGGGCTAGCAAAAGCAGTGTGTAGGGTAATTGCACATTAAATTGGAATAGGCATCAGCGAACAATCACAATGCAGACAGATGTCCCAAATACGTGTTGAAGAAGTAGGTGGTCGAAAGATAGTGATTATTTTTTCAAATAATGCTTTCGCATTGATAAAAATATTTAGTTCTTTTTATGTCAACTAATGTTTGTTTTGTATTTTAATTATTTTTAAGCGTGGGATATATACTTTGGATAATTTTTATATATAAAATACTAATGTTAATTATGTACGCTATGGATCTGTTTGGCGTGATTTCAAAACCTCTCCACAAATGAGTAGCATATCAATTGAAATCTTCCAAGTATTTTATCTTTTTCTGGTGATCCTAAATTAAATTAATAGATTATTTTGAACAGTCGACCATTTACCTAAAATCGTAAAACATCGCCAAATGCTGCAATATGCATTCAACAAGGGAAAACCGTTCTATGACTGTTTTTACACAATAATAATATTTTTTTGCATGACTGGGAATTTTTCCACTAAATAGTTGTTGAAATTTCTATAAGTTGGAGGAATAACATTATACTCAAAAAGGATCTATTTTGTGGGATTTCAAAATTTTATTTGATGTTACTGTGAAATACAAATGGGAAAATTAAGATTTTCTGATGTTTGTTTTGGTATTTACATATCGCAACTGTATT